TAAAATGCAATAAAAATCTCAATTTTGTTAAAAAATTCCCAGAACCTGATTTTCCTAGCAATCAACCCATATGTCAATCTTCATTTCAGAGACCTTTTACAGCTTTCAACTTGACTATTGCAGTTTCTGGTTAGCTAAAAGCTTCATTCAATACTTGATTTTTTATTTGACTTACATTTTACCTATTTATAGCTACTAAGTTAGCCTACTCTATATTATTAAGTAAGTTTACTAATTCCTAATTTTGCTTTGTAGTATTCTCTTTATCAAACTATTCTAAGGCTCTTCCTTTCATACATTCTCTTTTCCTGTGGGTAGACCTCCCGCATTATCTATCAGATTTACACTTTAGTTTTACAAATATAATCTAAGTTTTGCTAAAAAATCTGGAATATTATCATTCCAGTCAAAATTGGTTATGAAATTCCTGCTATATTTATTTGATTTGGTAGATTATTCTGTAATACTAAAATTTATTCTTGCAAATTTAAAATATTCTGGTGAGAATTTTTTCTTTAGCTTTCTATTTCTTATATCACTTATAGAGCCTATCCTAATTACACTCTAATAAACTTATATTCTCTCTGCTTCACTGTAGGTGATAAGCATTTCACTTATATAGAATTGTAAGGTAAAATTTTCTTATACTAATATATCTATATGGGTTTGCTTTCCTGTTATATTGCCTAATATTCTATTTACTTGATTTTGAGCATTAATTTGTAACTGCTAAAGATCACTAATAACCCTTTCCATCACTCTTTCAGTATGATTTCTCTGTATTGTTTCATTATTTCTCTCTGCTTCAACATCATAATAACTCCGTTGTTCACAAACTAAATTCTACTAAAGATTAATCTCCTTTCATCAAATCTGCCTTGTTACCCTTTTTATTTGATCAGCTAAGATTTCTCTATCTATTGTTGTATTATTCAGATAACCATCTATGACATTTGCTAACTCTGTGATGATAACTATTTCTAAGTTAATATTAGGATTATACAAGTCTAGAAAATTTTCTCGTTTTGATGAATTTTTTCATAATGAGATGGCCTTGATCTGATACTGCAATTTTTTTAACTGTTTCTCAGATTTTACTAATTACTTTTCTAAACTAAAAACATATTTTTCTTTATCTCACACATTTTTCTTAACTTGATATAGCTAATTTTTTAGACTGGAGATTTCAGATTTTAGTTTTAATATTTCTTCTTCTGAAGCATTTTCAAGACACTTTATTTCTCTATTGAAATTCTAAATTCTTCATATTAAGAATAATTTTATTCTATTTGATTAATTTGTTTTTTATTCTGCAATTAATATTCACTACAGTTTGCAATTCACTACAAAGATGATAGTTTTCTCTTCTAACTTAGCTTTATGTTCTTTACATATTCTTCTCTGTCATAGATGAGGTCTGCAAAATGACATTCTTTTTTCGTAATTATAAAAGAAAATGGGAGAACCTTTGATTTATATAGATTCTTAAAAAGCGTATAATCTTGACTAGAATCTCACTTTTTAAGAGATATATTATAGACCTGAAGGTTATTATTAGACTGCTGAAAAATTGCAAATCATTTGTAAAAAAACTGGTTATGATTTCACTATAGTTATGATAAAAATAGTTAAACTAGCAGGTATTGTATCAAATCTATAAGCCTCAGCCTAAATTTATTCAGTATGCCTCTTTCAATAGCATTTAAATTTTAAATAAAGCTCATCAATCTAATATTACATCTATGTCTCATAATAAAATTAGTATTATATTTACAAATATAGAGAAGTAATAAAAGATGTCGCAACTAAGTACTGGTATAGTTTTACTTTAACTGATCATCAGAATAAATGGCTAAAGCAATTCAAAAAATTTATAATAATCCTAATGATCCTCTTAACCCACTTGAAGATTTTATTATAGATAAAGATACTGAATATATGGATGAATATAAAGATTTATTATTCAGTTATAATTTAAGAATTCAATATATTAACTTTAAACGTGATGTAATTATTGCTAAACATGATCATCAAGAATTTGAAAAACATGTTTATTTTTGACAAGATGCTAAAGATTTTCATTTACTTTTAACTGATAGATTTAGAATATAGTTTAAAGAACTTCATATAAATGATGATATTTACAATAATACTCTTACTTAGTTAATATAAATGTTTTCCAATAAAGCTATAAAAAAAGCATTAAAAAAAAAAATAATAGCTAAACCTTCAGTAAAGCATAAGAGATCAGTTGGTTATAATAAACTTTTTTTATCTAGTTATATAGAAGTTTATTACCTTTTAGAACTTGGCAAATTAGAAAGTGAAAAAAAGAAGGTTAACTAATTGCAATTGGTCTTCTGAAGTCTTTACGATAAATTCTTTTTAATAAAAGAAAATCAACCTATTCTCTATAAATTTTATAATATTTCTAGATGTTCATTTGTAAGAGAAGAACTATAAATCATCCTGCTAAACATAGTATTATTATTTAAATATATTTTTAAGTATTAGTTTACCTTTTCTTTCTTCTACTTGATATAGAATTTGTTCAAAAGTATTGCTTAAGTAGTCATCTATTTCATTTTTATTATAAACTATAATTTATTTATTTTTAAGCCAGTCAATTTATAAATTCTTTTTTCCTATTTTTTATTTCCAAGTTTATCATATATAAGAAATTTGATAAAAGAACATAAAGCGAACTTAAATTGCCTATATTTATCACTTTCTAACATTTTTCGTATATTACTTCTATTATCTGAATGAGATTTAAGAACTTTTACATGATGTATAGCTATAATTCTTCTTTTAACTACTATTCTTAATTCTTCTTGCTCCTTAAATTCTAAATCTTTTTCTGATTTTTCGTGTCTCTTAATTTCTCTTAAGTGCTCAAATTCTTTATTGATCAAATTCTTAGATTTATCACCTGTCCTAAATGATTGTATTTTAGGTTTAAAACTGCCTTTAGACTCTAATATCTTTTTATATTTCTCTAACTCTTTTAATATCGATAAGTAAACTGCCTCTAAATCATTTAATTCAAGATCATGAAAAAGGATTTTACAACTATCTAGATCATTTGTCTCATATGGTTCAATTTCTAGATCTAATTCTTTTCAACATTTTTGCAATTTTACTCTTCATGTCTTAATTCACTTTTTGGGTTTAT